TGGAGCTCTGCACAATCAATCTCCACCATCCAGGGTCCAGGCGCAGAGAGCGCGCCCAGAGCGAGCGCTTGCCCATCCAGCTCCTAGGTTTCCAGCACCTCCCCTCGCCCCGCCTCGTAGGCGTGACAGTTGCCAGAGTCTCAATGGGGGTTGGAGCTTCCAGATCCAAGCTGGAATGGCTACCCACTACAGAAGGTGGCTTCTAGCCTAAGTTTGCCCCTTTTGTATCTCTTATTGGAGCAGCTGGCAGAATACCTCAACCATTGCCCTCACCAGCTTTACTGTCCTAACCGCCTGTATCTTTTAGGCTGACTCCAAAAGTCCACTTAAACCAGAGAGCTAACTAATCATCATTGCTCTTGTAAGAATTATCTTCATTATAATCTGCAAGTAAATTACCCAGTGGGAGTAGAATTTTCCCACAACACAACACAACCACAGTATGCTAGATAGAGTGGGATCCTTTCATGTAGTAACCACACCATGGCAGGAACAGCAGGAACAGGGCAGGCAGCAGCAGGCGGGAAGAACAGGGGGTGTCCTGGAAACAGTTCTCCTGGGGCTTTGCCTCTCTGGGATGTACCCAGCATTGCTTTTCTCTCCACTGGGCTGAATTCCATGAGTGCCATTGCTAACTTCGGCTCCTCTGACATGGCCACCAGCATATTAATACTACCCTGTTCTAAGGACCAAAAAAACAAAAAAACAAACAAACAAACAAAAAAAACAAAAAAACAAAACAAAACAACAACAAAAAAAAAACAAATGAACAAACAAACAAATCAAGCTTTGTTTAGTAGGATTTTGTTTCCCAAAATTAACTTAAGCATGTACTGATAACCAAATTCCAATAGAAAATTATTCCAGGGAGTTAAAGAAAAAAAGAAACAAAATAGACCCATCATGTCTGGAACTGAAGTACCTTTCTTACCTGTATTATTTCATTCAATCTTGAAAACACCTCTCAAGATGTACTTCAATGCAATTTTCAGATGAGCATTTTGTCTGGAAGAGTACAGCAATACTCACTGTAATGAAGGAAATTCACACATGATTGCTTTTGAAAGATAAAGTGCAGTGGAATATCAAAAGATAATCTCAGTGTTATAACCCATTGCTTTTCAATGTATTCTCTTTGGACAGCTTTACAAAAAGCTTGATGCCCATGTGGCCTTAGTTGGAATGGAAATCTGGACTGATGAGGATAAAATAAAGATAACTCCAGATGTCAACACCACCCTGAACAACTTCTCTAAGTGGAGAGGGAAGGATCTGCTAAAGCGAAAGCGTCATGATATTGCCCAGTTAATCTCGTATGTATGGTCTCCTCTTTGCAGTCTAGATGGTATGTACCATAGACTCTATTGTCAGAGCCTCGGCAATGAAAGTGATATCTTGGAGCATGTGTAAGATGGAAGGAGCTACACAGAGGGGAATTGAAAGGCTTTAAAAAATACTCAGATGGAACTTGTTGGATATGTTTTACTTTGTGTCCAAGTATTGGCTTTTTTAGATTATAAAGATAAGGCAATCTGTCATTTATCAGAATTCTGTTTTATTGTGTCTACACAAAAGAAGGACAAATTTATATCATGAAAAGAGGGATTTAGACTGTGTTAAGAAGAACTGATTCACTTTAGCCAGGAGTTAGGAAAAACTTTTAGAATCAAAGAAGTAAGAATTGAGTGTTATATTAAAACCCCACACCTAGACTATTCTGCTGAAGGGCCATTTAAAAACAAGAGCTAAAATAGATATAATGGATGAAAGTTGCATTGAACTTTGACGTATGAGATCAAGAATGTGCCTCTGCACAGGCGCATAGTTTCAGTGATGTCAGCTTCCTCAGGGAACAGTGCATGACAAGGAAATGGGCAGCTTACATCCTGTAGAATAAATTTATACTTTGTACTAATCATAACAAATCAATTCAGAATATGAGTTTAAAATGAGCTTAAGTCACATATATACGTACACACATTTATATAATTTATTATTTACATATATAATATATAAATTATGTTTTGTATTGATAACAAACCAATTTAAAACTTATAAGTTTAATATAAGCTTAATTCACACACACACACACACACACACACAC